ATTTCAGTGCAATAAAACATTTTGAAAAACCAATACTTAAACAGAAACAGCCCCACTGTCTCTCTGCTCAACTGAAAAATGAACGAATCAGTTGATAAAGTGATTCGAATCAGTTCGTTCACTGAATCGATTCATTAAAATGAACGAATCACTTGTGAACCGACACAACACTACACGCGGTAGCCAGGCAGACAGTACAAGAAGCCGGAGAGGCAACACGGAGTTAAAGGTAAGATACTTCTCCGTCGTTCATTAACGCTGTTTTCTGTCATGATTTCGGGTTTTATTACCACGAACGGAGGGTGACGAACTCTCCGTTCAGCTCAAGAATGATGTCAAAATAACATTTTGCCGATAAAATAACACGAGCCGGTGTTTGTTTGGGATGCTGTGCTGCCTTATTTCGTTATTTATCTGGTTTMCGACTCGTTTTTAAAGACATAATGAAAAACTGTACGTTGCGGGTACCCACTAATCTTTTCTCTTTCTCTTTGCCGGTTTTAAAGTTTGGCGCCATCTTTTTCAGCTGCGCGGTTTTTAATCAAACAACCCACCCGGCTGGGTGTTGTACCAAATTCCGTATCCCGTGCTGGGTGGTATTCAAAAAAAAAAAAGGGGGTTTGTTTTTTTAGTTAGATCTGCTCAAAACGGACACTAAAATCGATCAGTCGATATTTTTTTGAATTCACGTGATTGTAAAAGGGTGTTTTTCCTGGAATCTCTTTCATATCTAAGAGGGTACATCATGTATGTTTTGCCCCAGGCTGACCCGGTTCTTGTGATAAATCATGGGGCACATGGCTGTAGTCTGAGGGGCAACACGTGGGTCTGTCTTTGACGGCTTCTGCCTCACAGGACAGTAGCAGAGATAAGACAGGAGCTTTATCAGCTGTTCCTGATGTCTGTAAACACTATTGAACAAGACTTAATTCATTTATGCAGGGGATCAATGTTTTAACTGACTTCATATAGGTTACCCACGTGTTCTTATAGCTGATTTTATAGTGTGTGTATGTATAGTAAATTACTTATATTAAATGTAACACTTTTATGGTGGAAATAAATGCTAAATGTTTGTTTTGTAGGATTTGTTGGACTATTTCTGCTACAGGATGAGGTCTCCCTATCTCTCTCTCTCTCAGCCCTGACTGAATGGCAGTGTGTTTCCTGGCCAGGTTCCCTGATTCACGTGTCTGTGCTAGATTGGTTTTCAACAAACAGCTGATTTGACAGCAGCAGTGTGGACGTACCACATCTGTCCAGAGTTTGAGTTCCACGCCTGTTGCCTGAGAGGATGCTTTTTAATTTGTTCACCAGAAAGAATAAATAATTTATTTTCTACTCTAAAAAAAAAAAGGATTGTGGTTAACAGCGCTGTGAGGGGAAAATACGGCAGCTATTACTCATGGTGATGCCATCCAGTCAGATGCAGAACACGTGGACCAGACTAAAGACCGGCACCTGGAGGTGGGTTTTGTTTGGGCTACAAGCGGCGGGAAAACGTCTGGGGTGGGGAAAGAGATGAGGATAATAGATGCGAGTTGTTCTCTTCGCTGCTTTTGGCATGAATTATGATTTTATCACCTCAACTTGTCTTGTGAAAGACTACTTCCTATCTTTGTGTTTTTCTTTCCGGGTCGTATTTACTTTGCCTTGATTTCATCCTCGCATAAGAGAGAATAACAATTACGGTGTTTCACTGAATGTAAATTACTCAACAATTGGCACAAACTAGATATTAAGGCTGTAAAACAGATCAAGTAACAGCACTTAATCAGCAGGAAAGAGCCTGCATTGGCTATGTGAAACACTTGTTTCTGTTGAAGTAAATTTTCTGAGTTATTCTTTTCATAATCTTCAACACTAAAGTTTCAAGTGATTTGTTGAAACCAGTTAAAACCAGCACTGTGTGGGCTGCACAAACCTTTGTGACTAATTTCTCATATTGCTGTTTGCAAAAATGCAATAATTGTGTGAATGCC